ACGTTTCTCCTCCTGGAGACAGTGTCCTGAACAGCTCCCTACTCTGAGCTGTCCCTGGTTGGGCCAGCCCTTTTAATCTTCTCCCTTCAGGTCTAGGCTGCAACTAAGCTTACCTGCAGCTTCTCTTATAGTCCCCCCTGGCTTTGGATTGGCTGGTTATTCTCTGGCCTCCTGGAGGACCCCTCTATGGCCTAGCCCCATTACAAGCCACTTTGGCTATGTCTACACTGGTGGGTTCTTGCGCAAGAACACGTGCACACTACCATGTGCTTTGCACAAGAGCAATGTGGACACTCTCTTGCGCAAGAAACCCCTGCCACATGTCCACACTGCCTTCTTGTGCAAGAGGGCTTACACTTGTTAGAAAAGAGCATAGCTCTTGCGCAAGAAGCCCTGTCTTCCGACGCCGTACTGTAAATCTCCTTGCACAAGAGTGGGCGGGTAATGTGGCTGCTCTGTGGGTTCTTGCGCAAGAACCCAACAGTGTAGACATAGCCTTTGACTTTTCCCAATGGTTCTTGCGGATCACAAGCCAATGGGAACTTTGAATGTGACGAAAGAGTACAAACACCAACATTCAATCGTTGATTAATTCTCCTGCTCATATCGTGTTGAGAGCACACTGCAGTTCACCTGTTTCCAGGGACTCCGGGCTCCTACCAGTCCTGTGGCATGGCTGTGTGAAGGCTGAAGCAGGCAAGGTCAGAAGCCACTACATTGTTCCAGCATGTGAGAGACCTTCTTCTGCAAAGTCTTCTCCGACCAGCTTTTTTTTTTTTTTTCCAGTTGATCACATAAAACTGGTGGGCTGGGCTCAGCACCCAATGCAAATGGCCAAGCTACATGAGCCGGCATTACATCATTGGGGAAGATATTGGTTGGTCCAGCACTTGACCTTCCTGTTCATAAGATGAGGGAACCACCATGTGCCTTCAATACACTGTTGCTGGTTCATGTCAGAAACATCCAGCTGGAGTGTTTGCATCTCAGGGGTTTCAGAGCCAGGCGTATACATACAGCGCTGAAGCACAAACAGCTGGCACCAAAATGCACGATTCATTTATAATCTATGTCAGCCTTGCTTGGATGCAGCCATGCACTCCTGGGCTGTTATCGCATCGTACGGGCCTATCCTAGGTGCAGTAATATTAACAGGACGTATGTGGCTTTATGCAGATAAAAGACGCGTGCCTTGCTGCCTGCGACTCCGCCTTCATTGCCCTGGGACTCTTGTCTCCCGAGCAGAGTTTCCATCAGTTTCAACAATCTCCCGGCCTTTGCTGACGCTGGCTGCCCATGGGCTTAGCCTTTGGGCCGTGGGAGGTTCTGAGCGGGAGCACCGATACGTTGCACTTGTAGAAGGGAAGACAGACCCTCACACCCATCGCAACAACAGCATAGAGCAATCAGCCATCACGTCCGCACGCCTGGTGGAGACCACATTCATGCGGTCAACAACATGGAGCCTTTCTTCAGGGAGTAACAGCAGAAGGCAGCTTCCTCCGCTCTTGCCTCATCTTCAGAGCCAGCATTGCCCTTCGATACAAGTCTGAGGGGAAATGAAGACCCTTCATTAATAACAAAGGAAAAATGATAGACCCTACTGCTGAGCAAGGCAACGGAACCCACCAACTTCTTGGGGGCAAAGCTGATCACCAGCATGCGGGACTTCTGTTCCAAAGGAGGAGATTATGGGCCTGACCCAATGCTCACTAAGTTAGAAGCTGTGGGCTTGACATGGGGCGATGCTCTCTGGTCTGTGTTATGCCAGAGGACAGACTACAGGGCCACAATGATCCCTTCTGGCCTCAAAATCTACATAGTCCATGGAAAGGCTCCCATTGACACTGATAGGCCCTGTGAATGTACTGAACCAAAACCTCTCGTTTCTCAGACAGTGGAGCTCACCCCTCCTCCAGAGCTCCCTAGCCGCTCCTTCCCCCAGCCCTGCTCTAAGAAAGATGAGCCGCAGCAACTCGACTTCTCTCCAGCACGTGCAGCAGGAGGGTCTAGGAAAGAGATTCATGCATCAGAGGCTGGGGTAGCGTCCTGCTTGGCGCTCTGCCGCACTTGAGCTAGCTCGGCGGGAAAGGTAGTTTTAGGTCCAGCGAGAAGATGACTGAAGCGTCTCTCTGTTCATCGAAGCACAAAGTGTCCGTGTGAGTCAAAGTAACCTCCAAAAACCCATCTGACAACCTTAAAAACATTCTCCCATCCGGAAACCCCAACCAGACATGAACAATCCACTTCTACTAATGTAGGCAACAGTGTCTGTCTCGTTCACTAGCCACCACCATCAAAACAAGACGCCAGCCTTCTCGTGGGGAGAAGGTCTCTGAGGCTATGTCTACATTGCAGGCTTTTCCTGGCAGAGGGTATGCTAATGAAGCGTTCATTAGCATCTGTCATGTTGTCATTTGCATATTCTCTGCCAATGCTTTTTGCGCAAGAGGTTTTTGCGCAAAACCCAGCAGTGTAGACGGGTCCGTTTTGCACAAACCCCCCTTTTGCATAAGATCCTTATGCCTCAACAAAGGAGGTGTGGGCTGGAGTGCCGTGCTGCTGTAGCCTCCCCAGCCCCCGGCATGCAGACCACTCCCAGATGTGGCTGTGTAAGGGCGGCCTTCCAGTCACCGCCTGGCTTTCACCAGCCTGGTTATGCTTCAGGTGACCATAGCACACTCCCATGCCTAGAGCTTCCCCCAGAAACATACAGCTTGTACTCCCAGGCAGTCCAGAAATATCAACTTCACTCTTCCTATAAGGGAGTACTAGGCAGCAGTGAGTCATGACCAATGAAGTTACAGACATTGTAACTCAAATGCACTGGAGTGTAGGAAACAATACAACCAGTGGATTAGCTGCAAAGAGAGAGGTTCGAAGTGACTACGAGTAAGGAGGCATACAAGTGAGAAATGGCTACTGGTTTCAAGAGGAGCGCTTGCTACTGCCCATGTTAACACACGGTGTTAGGGTCAAGCAAAATTTCTCACCATGTGCTTCCAGCAAGATTACTGACCAAGCTTTTCAGGCCAGGAGCCACCCCCAGAGTCCAACGGCTGTTTCCTTTTGTCTGCTCACATATGGAGCATGCAATGTGTGTGGGTGTGTCACAGCATCCGAGTTGCTTTGAACCTGTGTGTGTGTGTATTCAGTCCCTCCGCGCACATCTAGCTATCCCTATTAAACGTCGGTCTCCAACCCCCCTCCTCCTCCAGTGCCCATCACTAGTCAGCCTCCAACTTTCCCAAGCTTGCGGTGAGCTGCAAAACCAATCAAGCGGCTCTCTCTCACACCTCCATGCCACACCCTTCCCAGCAGTCCTCAGGCCAGCAGCAAACAGAGAGGGTTCCCCCAGGGTCAGTCTGACACCCACCAGTAACTTAGAGCAATACAGGTCATAACATTTCACAAGCTTTCTTGTTCCAAGGAACACCGATGACAGCAAATCGAACCCTCCCCACTCGGGGGGCATGGACAGCACCCCCTTCTGCATACCCACTTCACCTGGAAAATACTGACCAAAGGTGCCCGAGGTGCCTTCGTTCCGTGGCTCCAGCGAGGACTCCTGGGACTTGATTTTATTTTTAATTTTCTTCTTTTTCTTCCTTGTGTTCTGCCCTGGATGAAATGAAATGACGTCAGATTTGACACTGAGACAAGGATTTGTGGGGTCATCACACTAGCTGGGAAAACTTTGTCCAACAGTTTTTGAGATGATCGTATTTCCTCCCTATGACACCTGCCAAGGATGGCAAAGATGTTCGCAAAGATTTCCTTTCCCGCCCTCTCTGCTCCTCACAGCTAACTGCCAAGGAGCTGCGAGAAATGAGCCATGTTTCAAAACTCGCTGTTCTGCAGTTCCTGACCGTTCCGTGTCCAGTTAGAGAGTGAGTTAGGGCACCAGAGCTTTCCAGGTGTAAAACATAAGAACACAGGAACGGCCAGACTGGGTCAGACCAATGATCCATTCAGCCCAGTGTCCTGTCTACCGACAGTGGCCAATGCCAGATGCCCCAGAGGGAGGGAACACAACAGGTATTCCTCATGTGATCCCTCCTCTGTCACCCACTTCCAGAGGCTAGGGACAACATTCCTACCCATCCTGGCTAATAGCCATCGATGGACCTAACCTCCATGAATCTATCTAGCTCTTTTTTTTCCACGGGTTGACTGTGCACTGAGTGAAGAAAAACTTCCTTTTGTTTGTTTTAAACCTGCTGCCTGTTAATTTCATTTGGTGACCCCTAGTTCTTATATTGTGGAAATAAGTTAATATTTCCCACTTCCTCAGATCAAACCCCACGAAAGCTCATCACCTAATAAATCATCTTGTTAGTCTTTAAAGTGCTGCATAATCCTGTCTCTTGTTTCAGCCAGACCAGACTAACACGGCTATGACTCTATTCCAATCCCAACTAAATGATCCCAGATGGGGTTTTATAAGGTCAGGCCTTAAAAACTCTAGGAATGGAGATTCCATCATCTCCGTAACCGATTCCAGTGCTTCAGCACCCCCCTAGTGAAGTAGTTGTTCTTAATATCCAACCTAGCCTGCTCCCCACTGCAACTTGAAACCAAAGGTTTCAGACTTGTGTTTTCTTAACCAAAAAGGCATCTGTGGGGTTGATCTAATTTACTGGATCAAAACTCCATTTTTAAATCCATACAGGTATTTCGTAGGTCTTCAAACTCAGTACATGTTCCACAATATTTTATGAAAAGAGGATGCATTTACAATAGGAAAACACTCCCCCACCTCTCTTCACCCCCCTCCCCCCAAATGTGTATTGCTATGGAATGGGATGGTAGGGTAACTATTTTTAAGAACATAAGTTTTCTATGGATTTCCAGAGAAGTGGCACTCACCTGACTCTGTAGCAGCAAGTCTAACCCTGCTGTAAAATGTTTTGTGGCTTAGCAAATTTGCTAACCCCTGATCATGCTTGGATTGGACTTTCAGAAAGCCATTGATAAGATCCGTCACCAAAGGCAAAGCAAAGGAGTAAAGTAAGGAGTCATGTGATAAGAGGAAACACCCTCTCATGGATCAGTAACTGGTTAAAATAGGAAATAAAAAATAGAAATAAGTGGTCAGGTTTCACAGTGGTGAGAGGTAAATAGCAGGATTCCCGAGGATCTGTACTACAACCAGTGCAGTACACTCAGCTGGCAAAGTTCTCAGATGATACAAAGTTATTCCAAAAGAGACTACGAAGAGTTACAAAGAGTTGCAAAACTGGGTGACTGCCAAAGAAAATGGTAGATGACATTCAGTGTTGATAAATGCAAAGTAATGCACCTTGAAAAATACAACTCCAATCATAGAATCTCAGAGTGTGTCTAGACTACAGGGTTTTGTTGACAAAAGTGGACTTTTGTCAACAAAACTATACCTGCGTCTACACTGCTGCTGGGTTCTTTCGACATAACGTCGACAGAACTCAGCAGTTCTGTCAACGGCTGTAAACCTCATTCTACGAGGAATAACACCTTTTGTCGACAGAGTTCCGTCGATAGAAGGCATTATTGCATCGACACTGTCCTTTGTGTCTACACTGTCCTGTCGACAAAGCGGCTTGCTTTGTCGACAGAACTGGATGTAGTCAAGACGCTCTTTGTCGACATACGTTTTTTCAACAGTATCTTTCGGCAAAAGCCTGTAGTCTAGACGTACCCTCAGAATCACAGAACTGGAAGGGATCTTGAGAGGTCATCAAGTCCAGTCCCCAATGAGACATGCAAAATGATGGGGTCCATTGAAGAAAGAGACTGTGGATAGTTCTCTGAAACTATCTGCTCAATGTACAGAGGCAGTCTTAAAAGAGAACAATGTTTGGAACTATTAGGAAAGAGGAGATAATAAGACAGAAAATATCATAATGCTGCTGTATAATTCCATGATATGTGCGCATCTAGAATGCCGCATGTAGTTCTGGTCACCTCATCTCAAAAATGATATATTGGAATTGGAAAAGGTACAGAGAAGGGCAACAAAATGATTAGGGGTATGGAACAGCTCCCATATGAGGAGAGATTTAAAAAGCCTGTTCAGCTTGGAAAAGAGACAATTAAGAGGCCTATACAATCAGGACTGGTGTGGAGAAGGTACATAAGGAAGTGCTGTTTACCTCTTCTCATAACAAGTACCAGGAGTCATCCAATTAAATTACTAGGCAGCGGATTTAAATCAAACAAAAGGGAGTCTTTGTCACACAACCTGTGGCACTCATTGCTAGGGGATACTGGGGAGGCCCAAAGTATAACTGGGTTCAAAAATAAAAAGAATTAGATAAGTTCCTGGAGGGTAGGTCTATCTATGGCTATTAGCCAAGATGGTCAGAGACACAACCCCACCTCTGGGTGTCCGTACACCCCACACTGCTAGAAACAGCCTGGATGACAGTAGTTGGATAACTCAATACATTGCCCTGTTCTGTTCACTCCCTCTAAGGTGGGGGTGGGCAATAACTGTTGATGGGGAGGCCACTCCAAGAATTTGGAAAGTGTTCGAGGGCCACACCCTTCCATGATATGAATGGAGGAGGTGCGGGGTCTGGGATGGAGGTTGGGTGCAGAAGGGAGTTTGGGGTAAGGGATTGGGGTGTAGGAGCGGGTGTGGGGTCTGGAAGGAGTTTGGATGAAAGAGGCGATTGTGACCTTGGGCACTGGCCCGGAGTGCAGGGGTTTGGGGTTGTGACCTACAGCAGGAGGGGTTTGTGATCTGGGGCAGGGGACTGAGGTGCAGGGTCTGGGAGGGGGTATGGGTTCAGGAGGGAGACAGAGGGTTTGGGTTATGTGGGGTGGCAGTGGGTTGGGGAGGGGGGGGTGTTGGGGTGCCAGAGGCAGGCTCTGGCCAGGAGACTTACCTGGGTGATTCCTGGCCAGCAGTCCAGCACATTTTTAGGCAGCCTGCCTGCCTGCCCCACTCCTACAGAGTCTGCAGGGGCCATGTGTGTTGGTGAATACGCCTGAGGGGAGGGGTCCGTGCTGCTTTACATGCTGCCTGTTCTTCAATCAGGCAGCACCCATTGGCCAGAAATTGCCCAATGAGATTGTGCTGGGGGCAGGAGCAGTGCCTGAAGCACCACTCCCTCCTCCCCCAGGCTCACAGCTGAGAAAGGGAAACAGCTGCGGCTGCTGCGTTTGTGAGCAGTTTGCCCAGCCCGGCTCTAAGCCATCTGGCATTGGCCACTGTCAGAAGACAGGCTAGTAGAAGCCAGATGGACCATTGGTCTGACCCAGTCTGGCCGTTCCTATGTTCTTAGGCTTAGCACGTGCCATTCAGGGAGTAACTACATCCTGGCCACAGAAGAACGAGCTCGGCAGAGTTTGCCTCACGTGGACCAGACACTGGCAGGTTCATTGGCAGGTGGCCTCCCACCAAGGCACTCTCTGCAGGGTGACTCAGAGGTTCAAGTTTCACTAAACCTGAGCGTGTTCCTTATCTACGGCAGCAAACCCTTGTCGGGCCCTGCTACCGCCTGTGTAGTGGCTGCACCAGGAATCCCCCAATTCCATGGTGTGGGATGGGGAACAGGCACTTCCTGACACCACCACCTGAGCTGGGAGACAGACTTAGCAGAGGTCACCAGCCCCAGGAGAGAGGGTTGGGAATGAGCCTTTCCCCCGGCCTCCATGACAACCCACCCTCAGAAAACAACATGCCAGGTGAACTTCAGAGGCCCCATGTGATGGGAGCACCCTGGAGGGCCCTGCCCTGATTGCAGATTTGGTTATAAACTGGACCCCCCCGCCGGCCTGAGTGTTGATTTGTTTACACGTGCTGTTCCGAGCCCCCTGGCTTGAAGTGGTTTCCATTATAGGCAGGGTTTAGTTCAGTTCAATGGCTCTCAGCATCCCTCTATACCCACAGGTGCAACACCCCTGCTAGAGCCTCCGTCCAGCCTACCAGTGCTGTTACCTGCTGGGGGAGGCGCTGTGCCCGGGCGGAGTGGCTTCTCCTGGCCAACTCTGTTGCTGTGGAGGAGCCCAACGGCAGCACTTGCTCTGATCTCTCCTCCCCGTGCTTTCCCGTCCTCTTCGTCAGCCAGGCTCCCCGACTGTACCAACCCTTTCTTCTTCCCCTTCACCGTCTTCTTCCTTCGCGTGGGTGCCTTGGGGCCTTGCCCCTGTGCAGGGAAGAGGTGGGGGAGCCCGTTAGCAGAGGCCAGGTCCTGTCTGGTGGGGATAGTCCCCGGGGAGCAATATTCCTGGGGGAGGGATCCATAGAAGGGCTGGCTACCTGTGGGAGGATGTTCTGGATGGGCTGCAGTGGTTTGTACTCCCCTATCTTGGTGCTTCCTTCTTGGGAGCTCTCCCTTCTGGCCAGTAACGCCCTGGGGACAGGGACACGCAGACAAGAAATTAACAAAACACACAGTTCAGCCTCCCCCTCTGCAGTATTCTCCCTCCCACAGCCCTTAGCTGCAGTGCCCCCTGCTGCCTGGCCGTGGCAAGGAAGGGCACCCTGGAGACAGCTGGGATTCAGAGACGAGGGCGCAGATGCCTCAGAACTACACGCCCCAAGTGAAATCCTGTGCCCAGGCTCTCGCCCCATCGGAGTAGCGGCGTGGAGGAGCTCAGAGGCTCAGGTCCCCCCTGACCGTTGTGTAGCATCCTCTCCAGCCAGCCATTCCACGGAGCCAGACCCAGGCCCCTGCTCAGCGTGTGACCAGGAGCCCTGCTGTTTGCCTGGGGGTGCTTCTGTCAGCTCCCAGCACACATCCCTCACTTCCCCGGGTCATAGACCTGCAGCAGCCACATCTCCTGCGCACAGCTCTTGTTCCTGGGGGGCCTTACCAGAGGCCCCAACCTACTTCAGTTGTAGGGGGGCCTTGCTGGAAGTTCTTGCTCCCCAGGAAGCACCTGCCCTCACCACTGTCACCATGCCGACTAAAATGGCCGCCTCTCTCACGCTCCCAGATTAGTATGTTTGCACACACGGACTCAGCTCTCCAGGCCCCGGGGCGGCACTGTGCAGCCCCTGCCGGGAGGCAGAGCTGTGCAAGGAAGTTCCCAGGGTGGCATTCGTCATTAGAACGGCATTCGTCACCGTGTATCACGTAGGATGGGGGCAGCGCTGTCATTACAGAGTGCTGCGCTGCGCTTTTCGGGGGGGCGTCACCCCGGAGGCCTGATTCTGCTCCCATTTTCACTGGGGTAACGCCGTGGGCCTCACTGGAGTTATTCTGGACTTACACCGGTGCCAGGGAGAGGAGAGTGAGAAACGTACTAGTGCTACTGGGGGGGCGGGAAGCCTCGGGCTTCGAAGGAGAATGAACCTCCCTCTTTAGGCGTGCTGCGGAAATACACTGATGTCAGACCCAGGGCATGACCCAGAATAGTAGCTCTCCATAGAGCAAACCTCTGCCCCCGTGTCTGGCTGCGGGCCTGCACTGCTTTGCTGGGAGCCTGTTGCTCTCGGGGGGCCGGCGGGTCGGGGCTGTCTTGCTGCACCCGGGCACTCAGGACGCTGTAGTTGATGGCAATAGTGCGCAGGAGCCAGTGGAGCCCCTGCAGGATGGTGCGGGACTGGCTTTTATGGAGACTTTTGGCTGCTGAAGATGGCTCCTGGGGGCAGAGAAAGGAGAAAGCCCGGGTGAGCCTCTGCAGCAGCAGCATGACAGCAAAGCAGCGAGGAGGGAAAGTATCTGAACAACTGCGGAGAGCAGCTCACGGCAGGGAGAAGACCAACCCCCCTTTCTCCATGTCTCACAGGCCAGTGCAGGGGGGTGCGGAGGTGAGGAAAGCAGCGAATTCAAGCCGGGCTGCCCCCCACACTTACGATGCGGCACAGCGACTTGTTTTCATTCGCAAGCTTCTCCAGGCACAGGCATTCGATCAGCTCACTCGGGAGGAGGGCGTCAGGCCTGTCCTGTTTATTGGCCAGCCTGGGCTCATCCATGCGCCATTGGGGTGGGAGGAAGGAGAGAAGAGGATTAGCCCCCACAGGCCAGCACCGTAGCTCAGTGTTGTCTCTCTTCTGCGTCGCTCCTGAGGGGAGTGGACACAGGCCTGTGCTGTGAGGAGCTCGTCCGGGGGTGGGGGGGTTGGCGTGATTTGGTAACCCCACCGCTTGAGGCTTATTCCACGGCAATATGCCAAAGTCCACCAGTTTCACGTGGGAGCTGGCAAGGGGCTGGTTCGGCCCAGGCCGCCACTGTGTGACCAGTCCTCCCACGCTCTGAGACGGGGTCGAACAAAGCCACCCACGCCGGCCTCAGACACGCAGACAAATCTGAGGCAGTGCAGCTTTTGGCCACGCCTGGCACAAGCCCCAGAGGCCTGGCAGGGTCAGGGGTTAGTTACGCAAGCGTCTCATCTCTCGAGTGGGGGAGACCAGCGGCGAGTTTAGGGACCACTGGGGCAGAGGGATAGAATCCCCAGCCTGTCACCCACTCCCTCATGGTTCCTCATGAAGAACAATGATTTGGGGTTGGCTTTGTTCATCCCTAGCATGCGCTTCACTCTGGCCCCTGTTTGAGTCAATGGCAAAAAATACATTCCCCTCAGTGGGATCAGCATTGACCCCTCCCCTCCGCACTGCACCTGGCCCCCACCCATGTCTGTCCTGCTCTGCCTTAGCCCCCTGCTTCAGACCGACTGCCTTGTCCCACCCATGCTGGCAGTGCAGACACCAGGCCTGGGGCAGACTCTGAGATGGGACTGAGGGGCTCCGAGTCTCAGTCCCTGAGATGACCCATCGTGCGGCAGTAACAGTCGCACTGAAAACCCGGATACACGTCACCGAGACCTAGTGGCGACCGACACGATGAAACAGCTGGGCCATCCGCTCTGTGCAGGAACCTCTGGTCTCCCGCCCCTCTGCTCTATTGTCTCTTCAGCCAGTTTAGATTGACGGCTCCATGGAGCAGAGACCTTCTCCCCTGCGCTCCTGTAACGTGCCAGATGCATCTCTGTGCAACGTAACTAATGAGCATCACTACAGCACCTGCAGCTCTACCCTGCCACAAGAGTAGCGAGGTCATAAGAACAGCCAGACTGGGTCAGACCAAAGGTCCACCGAGCCCAGTGTCCTGTCTTCCTACAGTGACCAATGCCAGGTACCCCCACAGGGAATGAACAGAACAGGGAACCCCCAAGTGATACTTCCCCTGTTGCCCATTCCTAGCTTCTGACAGAGGCAAGAGACACCATTCCTGCCCAATAGCCATTGAGGGACCTATCCTCCATGAATGTATCTAGTTCTTTTTTGAACCCTGATAAATCCTGGCCTTCACAACATCCTCTGGCAAAGAGTTCCACAGGTTAACTGTGTGCTGCATGAAGAAAAACTTCCTTTTGTTTCTTTTAAATCTGCTACCTATTACAGTCTGCAGAACTACCCTCCTTTCACTGGTCTCACCTACACTGTGCTTCTGAGCACCCCACCCACCCTAACCCAAAGGGGCAAGTCCTGGGGGTAAGGGCGAATTCAGCCTCCTCATTTGTTCCCCTCATCCCTGCTGTTTCAGCTCTGGACTCCCTTGAGGTCCCTTCCTCAATGTGCAGAAACCCCATTTACTGGCCAAGGAGCACTTCAGTGCAAGGGGAGGCAGCCTTACAGTAACAGGGGCTTCCCAGAAATCCGTGGGTGTGCCAGAAGACGACCCAAGATCCTCTTGGCCTCTTCCATCCGCAGCACGTCACTGGAGTCCAGGACAAAGATAATCCCGTGAGCGTCACCATAGTGACTACGCCATGTGCCCCGCATCCGCTGCCCCCCGGATAGGTCGACAAGGGAGACTTCAAAACGGTCCACCCTGAGCTCTGTCTGGTGAGGCTTCGTTGTGGGGAGCACCTCACACGAGAGCACTGCGGAGAAAACAGCACCCACAAAAATACACACGTAGCCCTCAAAAACCACTGACTGTGCTTATCCCTTCTTCCCAGCTGTGGCTCGTAGCAAAGATCCCTGGCCTTAGCATCAATCCCCTTCTGCTACATCCCTGTTCTCACTTGTGTGGGGGTATGTAAGGGTTAAGTAAGGCCCTGGGTAACCGTTACCATGGTAGAGAGAGGAATGGCAAAGACAGCACTATTACTTCTGCTTGACAGATAACGTTTGCATCCCTTTCCCTTCCTGCTTCCTGTTAGGGTAGATAAGAGTGTACAGAAATGTGACTTTCTAATGAATACTCCATGTAAAGCATGAGTTCCCAAACTGGGGGGCGTGCCCCCCTGTGGGGGCATGAAAAAATTCCAGGGGGGGACGCGAGGTGACCCAGCCACACTCTTCCCCCCCCCCCCCCCCCCCAACCCC